ATGAGTATACAGCGATTTGGTAGCGAGCGAGTTGGGCATGCGTTGCCTTAGGAGTGGTTGGCTTACAAAGGGTGCACACCAGAGCTAGTTCAAAGTACAAATTCAAAATATACAAATTTCAAGAGATACAAAATTCAAAATGAAATGCACACTAGTAAGCTAGCTACAAATTGTGTTAATTAAATATAAGTGTTGCAGTGCTCGCGTAGCCACCTCGTTATACATTTCCAGTGTAATGAGTAATTCCTGATTTGCAGAAATACGACGCATTATATTCAAGATATCTTCGGTCATATAATCACGATAACTTTGCCACAGTTGCAATGGATCAGATGGAAAACATGTTGCAACAATAATTGAAAATAATGTCCGTATTTGATGCGGTGTACCTGTTGCGGATGCATCTGCAAGTGTTGCATCCCAATGATTATCATCTTCAAGTAGATGCAATTCTTCACATGCTCGCCGGTAAGTTTGACAGAGGCGCCCATTAACTCTTTTCAAATTCAAAAAAGACGTTGGTCCACGAACATTAATTAATAAAAGACGCAAATAAAAACATTCAGCCTGGCTAGGATGCACTGTATAAAGTCGTCCTATGGCGTCACTTTCAAAAAACACCAGGATAACCATCAACAGGTTTTCCTCTTTTACGTCTTTCCCATGTCTTTGAACTTACATTCCATGTGTAATATGTTGGTACTTGTGAATAAAGCAGTGTTTTAGCAAATTGATCTCTTTCACATAATTTAAAAAAAGAAATTAATGTGGTTGATGGCGGTCGCTCTACAATTGCCTGAGCATTATCAACAGTAAAATACACACGCTGTCCATTTTCCAAATGAACTGCTAAATGAATAACAGCTGGACTACGGTCATGAATGGGGAAAGACAGAATTCGCCAAACTGCCTCGTTACTACTAATGTACCTGCCCATTTGGTATTGAGTTATTTCATCATTTCGGTTCTCTGCAACTCCAAAAACAGCCATGTCACTGCCTTTGTTAATATACTTGCAAATGTATTTAATCGATTTGACCGAATTACAATATTCTACATTGATATGAGCTTTGTACGCTTTCGATAGCAATGGCGAATAGGGAACTACCCATCTATTATCAATTTCAAAATCTTGACGATTCACTTGTAAAGTTATTGATTTGCCGTTATCCTGTGTTGAACGTCGACGATATAGAGGGTATCCATCATTTCCAGTAATTGTTTCAGAAATGAGTGCTCTAGGGTATCGTTTCGTACATTTGCCATCTTGCATACATGGTGAATTGACATTTATCACACCACACGGGCCATGTATCATATTTTTAGTGACAACATCAAATAAATCTGGATCAATTGTCTGATCCGGAATCTCAGCTGAGATTACATCATCTATTTGATCGGTTGTAATTTTGTCCACTAACCATATTAAAATATGCGCGTGTGGCAAACCTCTCTTTTGCCACTCGACAGAGTACATCCAGCATCTAACTTCTCCGTAAACTTTATATTTGACAATAAAATCCATAAGTGACTTGAGTTTTTGTCGAAATATTCTTGCAGTGATATCATGGCGATCAGTAGAAGATTGTCCGGGATACAAATATTTTTTAATTTCTTCCCATTTTGGATTGCACGTGAATGTTATAAATAAATCAGGCCGACCATAACAACGAACATAACATATGGCATCTTGTGCGTACTCATGCATATGACGGGGGCTCCCTGTGTAGGTCGATGGTAAAATTACCATTTGTCCAATATTGTTTACATTTCTGTCATTATTGATCGCATCTCTGAGATGGATATACTCTTCTGAGCGCAACTTCCTTTGATTAAATCGAATGAAATTCAAACGTTCTGTTTCTATCTTTGCATACATATCTACGATATATTGATGAAATAGTTTTCGGGCTTTCAAAATATGATTTTCCTGGTTTTGTCGTATCATAATTCTATATGCATAATAGTTCATGGCGCTTACGTTTTTATTTACTTCACGTTCTGAAAAAAAAGCAAAGCAAATAGAATGATAAAACATGAAACAGAAAATTATTGAAAATCATCATTAATCCAAAAACTCACGTGGATTTGCTGGATCAACCATTTTTATATTGACAGAGTATCCATCTTCGCCTCGACAAAATAAAATTGGATATTGTAGTGCGTCATAACAGCGATGCGTTTCGCATACACGTTGTAATTGATTATTTCTTCGGCGCAATACAATATCACGTGATTGAAATTCTTCACCAACAATCACAATAGCAATTTCATTATTAAGCGGTGCATTAAATCTTCGTTCGTGTTCACCGATCGGTCTTCTGTCAGCTCTAATCACAATTTTATGATCATCAGATTGCATTTGATCAAGTGCTGTCTTAAACGTAGTAACCAATTCGTTATGTTCATGAAATATTGCTTGCAATTCTTCAATTATCAATCTTCTGGCACTTTTAAAAAATGCACAACGTGTATCGACTTCATTTTGATTATTGCCAAGGAAATAAATTTGCAAAAATTGATAGTTAGCATCTGGGAATGGCAGCAAGGAACCGATTTTGTGGTAAATTTGCCCTTGTATCTCTAATGTAGAGCCAAAATATTCAGATGATAGATTGTCTATTTCAAAATTTTTATTTGAAATGCTTGATGCCGAAATTACCTTGAAGGTCGGCATAAAATTATCTCTTATTATATTCGTCGCACCAAAAGACGTCATTTGAAAACATGAATTGTACATTCGAATGTGATCCAAAAAATGATTTGATTGAGGTGTTGAGCCAGAAAGCAGTGAAGCTAATGGTTCTGGTGGATATTGTAATTCTGGTAGTCGTCCTTTCCCAGAAGTACAACACATTCCAGGAGGTTCAGTTTTAAATTTCACTGCATTACAATATTGACATATTTTGTCCATTGCGCCAATAACCACAAATTTATGCAAACTATAATCAATGGCATTGTTATATTGAAATCCAGCACCGTTCAAATCAAACAAATGAGTCATGATTCGCCCCTGGATGCCTAGCGTCAACAAATGTAATGACCATGTTGTGATCGCATATCTGTAAGGAAACTCAGTTTGTGTATATGTATACTTGTAAAGATAGTATATCATTAACCTACCGCCATTACATTAACACTGTAAAAACCCTTGCGGTTGAGGTATAGATGGTGGTTGTCACTTCCTGGCGACTTAATACGAACGTGTGTTCCATCAACACAACCAATGACCCCAGGTATTCCGTATTTCTCAAAGAAATATAACAGCATTTTCCTCATCGTTGTTTCTCCTAAAATTCACCCATTTCTGGCAAAAGTGGTCCTCAAAAATATTTAGGCACTCCTTAATCACTTTGGCTGCAGTTGACTGCCCCATCGACGAAATATTTTCGTTACCAACAGATTTTTGGTAACTGCCGGTGGCCAGAAATCTTAAAAAAGTCACGAGTTTCAGCTGGTGCGATAGGTGGGTGCTTCTATGTGATGGAGCCATATGCTCTTGTAATTCATTTAAAATGTACTGGAATATTTCCTTATTGATTCGGAAATTTGCAACAAATCTAAAAAAGAATACATTGTAGCATACAAAAATTATTGGCTAATCTTGAACTTACTCAGTCTCAGGTAGTTCCATTACATTGGTGTGGTCTCGCAATCTCCTCCTCTGTATCCGCCTTTCCCTTTCTTCAGATTCCTCGGCGTCCATTAGCGCTATAGCAGCATACATTTTTTAAAATAGATTTTCCTTATATTCTTTCCGCAACACAACCAAAACACTTTTAAGCAAAACCAAAATGTAAACAATTCCGATGTTGCCCATTTAAAATAAAAAGCATTGAAATAAGCTGAAAATATTAGAAATCTAAGAAAAAATCTTTTAAAGTACATCAAAATTACATCCGGCAACATCATTCAACGTAACCGAGACGATAGCAACGTAATCGACGTAAAGGCAAGACGAAGACGAACGACAGAGTTACAAACTTGCAATCCGTGACGATATCGCCTACAGACGAATCGTTCGTGCGGCCTAACGTTCGAGATACAGAATAAGGCTGTATAACTTTTTTATGGTTTTCATACATATTATAAATATACAGTAAACCAAATGAAAACTGGGCGCGACATTTTTGCAAGTTTTGGCCATTTTTCTTTAGTTAATTTAATGTAATTTTTTTTAATAAAGTATAGCTGATTACTTCACATATAAGTTCAAATTTCAGCCTTAGAAAAAATTGCATACCAATATTTTAATTAAATTACAGTCATGCGAAAATTAATAGGGACACGACATGTTGGCCAGTTTTCGCAATTTTTCCATTGTTTGTTTACTGTTTAGTATTTTTTTTTAGAAATACAGCTCATTATCTAACAAAAACAATACAGGTCCGAATTTCAAACTTTGTAGAAAAATTAGAAAAAATCAACAAAATGTTACAACAACAACAAACTTTTTATTAAGATTTTCTGGAAAAAATCTAGGTATGCAGGAAAATTTTAGTGATGAAGAAATTTGGCTCTGAAAAGTATTCGGTATGAATGAATTTGGTTTCCAAGTATTATTTTTTTGGTTTTGTTAATTTTTTGTGGTGCTAATTTCTGTACTCAAGACAAAAATGCAATTTAATTAGTAAAATTATTCCAAGGTAAAATACTAAAATAAATATCTTAAATAATTCACTTTACATAGTACTCAGATATATTTGGTATTTTGAAGGTAGCAACTACTTTCAATCAGCATGAAATGCAACTCTGTGAAATTAGCTGAAAACAGTCGTAGTACATTGTTGCTATCTCTTTCTTTCAAATTTTGAGGGGTTTCATTCTCGCTAGTACACAGGATTGAACTAATATATGTCCATACTTGCATTTGTGTTGGTTCACTGGTGTGTGTGTATTAGTTTCCGTCAGGTTTGTCTAGTAGGGGTATCAACCTCTCGCTGGTGTTAACTTGCCACCTTGCCAAAATGTCAGCTGTTTAGTGTCGTTAAAAAAGAGTAACCGAATAATACAATCGTTACTGCAAACCACAAAAATCGTTATATTAGACCTCGACAAATCGTATCGTTAAAAGCTAATGAATTGCACTACAGGGCTGATAAACAAAATTGCCTGTTACACTATCTGTTTTCACATGCAGCAGTGCATAGCATGCATTTAGGCGCCCGGTGTTACCAGTCGCGCCTAAACACTATCCACAACGACAGCATCAATATTATTTATTCGATCATTTCCTATAATGCGATGTACTCTTTCATAATGCTCCCGGTTCCTCGACCTGCTTTGCATTCTCGGCAAAAGTCAATTCACAGCATTACTAAAATGAATACTTATAAATATGAATATCATATGTAGGGCTATACAAATCATGCACTAAAAATGCCATTTTAAGCGCTTAAAAAATGCAATTGGAAATATTTTTAAGCATTTCAAAACCTTAATTTTTCATTAACACTGCTACAAGTTTATTGGTTCCGTCAGGCAAGTTCATAGATCCAATTTTATATTTGGCATCATTTAGAATGTCGATGGATTTTTTTTAATAAAAGCCCTGAAGTTTCCAATTTGTCTATGCTTTTTGGAAGAAATCCATAATTGACACTGATAAAAATTATTTGGTTTTTCAAAAAGAGTTTTTGCAGACTTTATAGCGAAGAGTATTAACAATTTCCTTTACTATTTCGAAGTTGTCTGCATAATAGCTAACAGCCTCTAACCATGATCCCCATCTAGTGACCACAGGCTATGGTGACAAAGGCAATTCGCACATTTCGGATTCGGGTAAAAAACATGAATACCTTGTGCAGCTTTCACCATATAAGGTGCAGGATCAGTCACAAACAAAAGCAAGCTGTTTTTGAATTCAGAACCCAACAAGTTTACGGATTCATCAAACAATCTGGTAATGGTGCTGTGGTTCACCTTTACCAACCACGCAATATTTAGTAAAAAAGTTTTGCCTTGTCGGTTTTTTTCGCCATTGGCAACGCACCGACCCGTAGCATCAGTGGTTTCATCAATTGACATCCTTAGAAATTCATTTTTACATCTCGTTATGTACTTTGTGCAGGGCTATGCCAGCAGACACAAAAGCGTCACAGAAATCTTTAACGAAGTTTTCTTATTTTTAAGCTGTCAGACTTTCCTGCACGAACTGCTGAGATAGCTATTTCTCTGCTTCTGCGACCCTTTCTATGTATGTGAGAAGCGCATTTCACATGTTGCTTTACGAAAAACAGTTTTTCTGCGGAAATTTGTTTACTGCACAGCTTGCAAAATAACACGCTTCCATCTGTTTTTAAGCATGGGAATTGCCTCACATATTCAGCCAAACGGTTCGATAGTTTTTGCGCCTGCTTTGGCATCTAATAAATGAAAATATTAGTGACAAATTAATGAAAAATTTATAAATTTACCTTTAACTCAAACGGCAAAATATATGTACAGCCATTTTCCACATTTTAGACTGATGAAGATGATCTGTTCCCGTACCAGTCAAAAAATACAGGATTTAGTCAACTGTTACAGAAAAAACATTCTTCCACGCGTAAAAGTCATAGCTGCGCAAATACGAGAACTCTTTCATATAAATTCCGACTGTAGCTTCTGCTTAGTAAGGGAACAGCACAAAAAGGAGCAAACTCGATTTGTGGGAGTTTATGTTCGTGTGTCTTTATTGCAGCTTTAATGTGTCGCAGTGTCTTGCATTCCCGCTTGTATGTAGTATGTTGAACCATAAATAACGCACTTGATCGCGAGGTAAATGTGTACGAAAGCAAGAAAGCTCTATTTCTGGTCTTTGAAAGTAAACGTATTCCCACACCTGATTTGTTTAGTTGATCAGTATTCCTCGGGTGCCGGTTATAGTCTTCCTTCTCCGTATAGATACTTTTTTAGGTCACAATTCTTGGGTGTCAGTTAAGGTCTTATGATTAAACTTTAAATTTAATCTATTATCCCTTTTTCGGTCGATCACGATTGCTCGGGCTCCATTTAAGTCATACGACTTAATTTTAAATTTAAACCTTTCTATTGTAATATTAATAACCAAATAAATAATAAATGCGTTCTGACTGCGAGTCAAAAATCAATTCTCTTTATTTTGATTTTTCAATTCTATTTATACAGTTATTAAACTTATTTACTTCTATAATTTCTAATTTACTATAATACATTGTTACTCGTAATTCTTACATACTAGTCATACAAGCTTATGTATGTGCTGTTAACTACTTACGCACATACATATGAGTATCGGCTTAGCTTACAGAAATATATATGCTTATGCTTATGGGAAAATGCAATGTAAGCAGAAATCAAGCATTCAATAATATTTCGTGTGAACCACAATTTGTTTACATTAGCGACAAAATAAGTTTAATGCACTATTGGCGCGTGTGGAACTTTGTTATGTAGATATGCATTTCTGATAAACTACACTATACTTTTCTTCTTCTTGCGTAGTAGAACACAATTGTTGGGTGCCAATTAAAGTCACACGACTTATCTGTTATGTATATAATAATAGAATCACGTTGTGACTCTATTTTTTATAGCTTGAAGAGAAAATTTTATCAAAGTTCATAAATCTGAATTTTGACCGGTTTTATTATACAATTACTCCTGTGTGCAACGTGAAGCTCTTGGTAACTGCGGCGAATATTATTTTCCATTAATTAACAAACTTTTCTGCATTCTGGCCGCACTTCTAGCTAGTAACGCTACTTCAGAAATAAACTTTTCAACCCTTCACC